GGTCATTCCCATTGTGGAAGGTAGATTTATTTCGAAATTTCCAGATGCTGTACAGAATTGCCTTTATTAGAAAGCGAGCAACACAATTCTGTTTTGGGCTAGTGGGGGTCCAACGAAAAAAGAAAACATAAGTACGAGACGGGCGAAAGCTAGTTCCAAGGATAGAGGAGATAAAGGGGAAAAGTGGGACCATACAGATTTCACACGGGGGCAATTGAGAAAACAGTGATCTATAGTTTCTTTACGGGAACAGAACGCGCACTTATCCGAGTCGATATATCCCCAATTCTTTAGAGAGTCGCGGACCTTAATAGCGCGAAGTACAATTTTCCAGAGTATGTCGTTCTTATGATTTTCAGAAAAGTCGTCTCGCACTAAATTCCAAAATTTGTCAAGATCAAAGTCAAACGGAAGGAAGGGAGTCCAAAAGCGATGAAGAATTGGACATGTGGAGTTTTCCCTCAAGAGAGTTCGATAACATTTCTTGGAAGAAAATTCAAAATCGCACCACTCCGTGCGGGAGAGAATCCCACGTAGAGTGGTGAGAGCCGAGAGAACATTCTCATAATAGGGCGTCAAGATCTCTGTACTCGGGGTAGAGTTATCTCGAAGAGAGCTCCACTCCAAGCGACAGGAGGCAAGCCTAGAGCCTAGAAAATATCTGGCCAAATAAAAGGATTTTGATTCGCGATCATCTAGACTGGCAATCACCGAGGTTAATTTAAGAGAGTTACCTTTGATCAGGAAATTCAAAATGCCAAGACCGCCATTGCTAAGAGATTGGTAGCAGGACGCTTGGCTAACCGTTTCAATTCGACAGCCCCAGACAAATGGCCAGATAAAGCGTTAACCTTAGAAATGACCCATTTCGGGACACACAAAACTGTAGAGAGATATAGGAGCTTGCTAATTCCGAGGGTGTTAACGATGAGCGCTCGGCCGACAAGAGAAAGAGAGCGGGATTTCCATAAATTTAGATGTTTTTCTAATTTCTCTAGTTTTGGCTGCCAGTTGTCTAATTCAGTATCGCGGCCGAAAACAACACCTAGAATTTTAATTTTTGTCATCCATTTGAGGCCAAGTGGTTGGTCGTCGCGCG